ACCACCGCGTGCTACCAAACGTTTTAGTAAAAGATTTAAAAGTCGTTAGACCTCCGCTGACGTCACAAATTCTAAGGGGGCATACCAATGCATTAGCCCCTTAGAATCCGAAAACTGCAAGTTTGAAATTCCATATCTCCGAATTAAAGCATTTTTCGATGTTGTGAGTGCCCAAACCGGTATTTTCAGGCCATGGCCACCAATTTGGCTATCTCAACTCAAAACAAATGTTAAGGTGGGAGGGTCCCTTTAAAAACATGCACGGGCCAAACAGATCGACAGGGGCCCTCCGAGATCGGCAGAGAATAAGAAGATAGCATGAGGCGCCTATGATGGGCAGGCCCGGGCTCTCAAAGACCTAAATGGAACTATCAGAGACCAGGGACCCTTGGCAGCAGACATGGGCCCTCAGAAACCGATGTGACCCCGATATGGTAATAGACCTTAATGCCGGCCCGCTGCGACGAGATAACGGCCCTCAAATTCCGAAATTCCGACATGGGGACCAACAGAGACTGACAGGGAACCTTGGAGGACGGCATGAAAAGCCAAAAGTTCTTCCTTGGACCCCAGAGACTAAAGATGGGAGTCTGGTGCGGGGCCCTCTGAGGCCTGTTTTGGGCCACCAGGGTCCGGTTCGGTCCATCAGATGCCGGTTATGGCCCTCAAAAGCCGGTTTGGGACCCTGAGTGGCCACTGGCCAGTACTGGCCCTCCAGAACCAGTTGGTCATCAGAGGCCAGCCCAATATGATCCCTTACAAGCCAGTGTGGACCTCTCGGAGGTCAATGTGGGCCCTCAGAGCCCAGTGCGAGGCACCCAAAGTTCAATCTTGAGCCCCCAGCGACCGGAGTGGGTTCATCAGAGGCTAGTGTGGGTCCCTCAGAGGTGCCCGATTCGGGGCCCTCAGAGGTCGGTGTAGGGCCCTCAAAGGCCAGTATTGGCCCTCAAAGGCCTGTATGGGCCCCCAGGCTCAGAGACCGATGTGGGCCCTCAGGGACCAGACTAACCTGGCACCCCAGAGACCATAATAGGGCCATCAGTGGCGGTGTAGAGACCCCATAGACCGGCTGGGGCCCATTGAGGCCAGTTTGGGGCCCTCAGAGTCCAGTGTGGGGCCTGTTATAAGCGACAGTAGGGCTCCCGCTTGCATTGTGTCTCGAACAAGACTGGTCCACATTTCAACCGCGCCCGCTGACCCCAGCCGTCGGCCCATGCGCCGGCGGGCAAGTCATCGCAGAGGCGGCTCCAGGGAGACAATCGAGGAGCACACTACCACAGGGCCCCTAAAGACCGTCATGGGTCCTCAGAGGCCGGCATAGAGCCTTCAGAAGCCAGTACGGGGCCCTCAGAGGCACCCAAGGGACAAGGGCCAACCTTGGGTGTCAGTGACAGAAATGGGGTTATCAGCAGCCGGTGTGAGACATTTAGAGGCTGGTTTAGGGCCCTCAGAGGCCAGTTTGGGACCCTTAGAAGCCAGTTTAGGGCCCTCTGGGCTCTGAGACCAGTACAGGGCCTTCAAAGGTCAGTTTGGAACCATTAGAGGCCGACGTGGGTCTTCAGAGGCCAGTGTGATTTCTACAGGCCAACGTGGAGCCCTCAGAGGTCAGTATGGGGCCCTAAAAGACCGGACAGAGCGTCCTCAAAAGCCAGGATGGGCCCTCAGAGGCCAATGTTGGTCCTAAGAGACCGGTATCGGGCCTTCAGAAGCCAGTACGGGCCCTCAGAAGTGCCCAAGGGTTAGTCTTTGTCCGCCAGAGACAGAAATTGGGCCATCTGAAGCCACGGCGTTGGGCCCTAGGAGGCCAGTTTGGGCCGTCAGAGACCAGTTTGGACCCTCAAAAGACCAGCGTGGGTCCGTAACGGCAGTGTGAGGCCCTCAGAGACCAGTACAGAGCCTTCAAAGGGCAGTTTGGAACCATCAGAGGCCGACGTGGGCCCTCACATGCCGGTGTGGTATCTTAAAGGCCAGCGTGGAGCCCTCAGAGGTCAGTGTGGGGCCCTAAAAGACCAGCATGGGTCGGTGTTGGACCCCAGAGGTCAGCATAGGGCCCTCAGAGGCCGATGTGGACCCTTAGAGACCGGCATCAGGCCTTCAGAAGTCAGTACGGGCCCTCGGGGACACCCAAAGGCCAGTCTTGGGCCCCCAGAAAAAGAAATGAGGCCATTAGAGGCGTGGACCCCCAGAGACCAGTTTGGGAGCCCTCGAGACCAGTACAGGGCCCTCAAAGGCCAGTTTGAGGCCCTCAGAGGTCGATGCGGGCTCTTAGTGACCGGCACCCAAAGGTCAGTCCTGAACCCCAGAGACAGAAATGAGGTCATCAAGAGATCAGTGTGGGGCCCTCAAAGGCCGGTTGGGGGACTCCTGATGCCGCTTTAGGGCCCTCAAGGGCCAGTGGAGGGCCCTGAGAGGTCGATGTGGGCCCTCATCGGTCGATGTGGGCCCTCATCGGTCAAGGTGGGCCCTTGAAGGCCACTGAAGCGCCCTCAGAAGTCAAGGATACTCAAAGACCGGTATGGAGGCTGTTACATAATACCTGGCGTTGGTTTCTTGAGCCTCGTGACAATCGGGTAAGAGCCAGGGCCCCTACGCCCATCGGGGCCCCATCGGTGGTTTAAGGGGGCAAATCATATGATGGCCCCTGATTTGTCTTTGGGGGGCCATGGCCCTGATGCTCCCCTGCGACCTCCACTGGGCACCACCCCCACCCCCCACTGAGCGGTGAGCGGCGCACCAGGAATCGAAATCCACGATTTTTTTAACTGGTCATTTTTGCATGTCCGACAGCTCTATACGGCCTTGTGACAGCTCAAGCTCTTGAGAGGAGGGTAGTACCTACATTAGAGGGGGCGGCGATGGCATTTGCACTTGAGGCGGCAGCGCCTACACTTAGAGGGGGCGGCACCTACATTTTATGGGCAGCACCCTAACTTGAGGGGCGGCACCCACGCATGGGGGGGGGGCGGCATCTATCTACATGTGAGGGAAAGGCACCTTCATTTCAAGGGGTGGCACCTACACTTAGGGGGTGGCACCTACATTTGAGGGGGCTGCACTGCAACTAGGCCTTAGGGGGCGGCAACTACACCCTAGGGGGTGCCATCTACATTCGAAGGGACGGCACCTACATTTTATGGGATGACCGATGACACCTATGCATAAGTGGCCGGGGCCAACATTTGAGGGGGCGGCGCGGCACCTTCATTCGAGGGGGCGGCACCTGCATTCGAGGAGGGCCGGCACCTACATTCGAGGGGGCGGCACTAACATTTGAGGGGGCGGCACCTGCATTCGAGGAGGGCCGGCACCTACATTCGAGGGGGCGGCACTAACATTTGAGGGGGCGGCACCTACATTCGAGGACGGCCGGCATCTACATTCGAGGGGGCGGCACTAACATTTGAGGGGGCGGCACCTACATTCGAGGAGGGCCGGCATCTACATTCGAGGGGGCGGCACTAACATTTGAGGGGGCGGCACCTACATTCGAGGAGGGCCGGCATCTACATTCGAGGGGGCGGCACTAACATTTGAGGGGGCGGCACCTACATTCGAAGAGGGCCGGCATCTACATTCGAGGGGGCGGCACCTGCATTCGAGGAGGGCCGGCACCTACATTCGAGGGGGCGGCACTAACATTTGAGGGGGCGGCACCTACATTCGAGGGGGCGGCACCTACATTCGAGGGGCGGCATTTAGGTACATTTGAGGGGGCGGCACCAACATTCGAGGAGGGCCGGCATCTACATTCGAAGGAGCGGCACTAACATTTGAGGGGGCGGCACCTGCATTCGAGGAGGGCCGGCACCTACATTCGAGGGGGCGGCACTAACATTTGAGGGGGCGGCACCTACATTCGAGGGGGCGACACCAACATTCGAGGGGGCGGCACCTACATTCGAGGGGGCGGCACTTACATTCGAGGAGGGCCGGCATCTACATTCGAGGGAGGGAGCGGCACTCACATTTGAGGGGGCGGCACTTACATTCGAGGGGGCGGCATTTAGGTACATTCGAGGGGGTGGCACCAACATTCGAGGGGGTGGCACCTACATTCGAGGGGATGGCGCCTACATTTAATGGGCGGCGCCTACATTCGAGGGGCGGCACCTACATTCGAGGGGGCGGCACTTACATTTGAAGGGGCGGCACCTACATTCGAGGGGCGGCACTTACATTCGAGGGGGCGGCACCTACATTCGAGGAAGCGGCACCTACATTTGAGGTCTGAGGAGGCGGCAACTACACTAGATAGTTGAGGGGTGACTATTGCCTACATGATGGGTAGGGCTCTTTTGAAAGATGGTGCCAAGTCAACGGGTGGCATAGAGTTTTGGGATGACTCAGGGTTATGGGGGCGGCACCATTCGAGTCGCCCGCCGATTTATTTCAGTTGTAAAGTTGGGGTTGCACAAAAAGATGTTGGGGTTGCGCAATTCAAAGTTGGGGTTGCACGTGCAACCCCAACTTAATATAAAAATCCACCCCTGCTAGAGACCGGTTAGTAAGATGCCGTGCACAAGTCAGTTGGGGGTACCCCTCGAAATTTCGCACGTGCAAGGCCCACCCTCTCGCTCGCTCCGTTAGTCGCTCCAAAAGGCGTTATACTGGTGGATTATACGTGCAATCACATAAAACAACTAAAACAGAACGTCTGTGACTTGCAACAAGTGATCTTTTGGGATTTGTGTTGACAAAAATGAGGATGTATAATCCCATATCTCAAACAAAAATACTTCGATCTATGATTTCTACGGATCTTCGATAAATCAAAGAGCTGGATCGATCCGAGATCATGATCCGTAGGATCAGACCCCAGATCCATTTTCTTGGATTTATGCACACATCTGGTCATTATTACTGACCACTGCCACAAGGAACCCGGCATTTCGCCAAAACATCTGCACGACTTCGGACTTCCTAATCTCCTTTAGACTACGCATCCCGCAACACCAGAGCAGTGGCTGAATTCCGTGCGCGTCCCCCCGCGGTGTTCGCAGGCGCGGCTGCTACACGACTCTGTGGCAGGTGGCCGATAGACAGCACGGCCTGATGGTGGCCGCCACGGTGGGCGCCGTGGCCCTGCTCAGCCTGCAGCTGGTGGTGCTCTGCACGGCACACCACGTGGCGCGCGGCGACTTTATCCAGCAGGGCTAACAGCAGCGGGAGGAGGCGATACGAGATACGCCTACTCAGCGGCCTCACATGTTGAGGCAATGGCAATTGACTATGGGTTTGTGTGTATCCAAATTAGAAATACATTTTGGGGAGATGCCAGTTAGGACGGTGTTTGGGTTTGACTGCGCTTTCACGATAGGCAACAGGCGCTCAGGATCATTAAGAAAAGGATTCAGCAACCCCATGATTCACTAGGTTTTGTTAAAGAAGACATTTAAATGCATAACATCTATTTCTCTCGCACAGCCTCCACATGTTACATCAACGCCTTGGCCAGATACCCCGATGCCCGAGCGCACACCACTTATCTTACACTGGCAAACGGCGTCCCGCGCGCGCCACCTAGTTCACCAGTCACCAGGTGGCAGGGCCGTCCGCCGGAGACAGACGCCTCACCGCGGGTCCCTGCAACCAAAATGGCCGTCAGAATATCGCACACAAACATAGGGCCAAGCCGCAAGTCAAACTGAACGTCAGTGCGAGGATTGTCCATCACTGGTTTCAGCCGAAAGATGGTATTGCATAACATCATTGTGATCGAGATATGAAATTAAGAATCACCCTGGCCATTGAAGGAGCAGCGCATTCGGCACTCGCCACATACCTGAACAATTCGTGTCATTTTCGTCTTGATCGGCCCGTTTAATCGTTTCGTCCAAGGGAGAGGATGCACGGCACTGCAATGGATAAAAACACTATGAGAAATTAATTGGTGCAACAGTAAATTGCAGCAATACTGCAGCATCAGAGTAACTATGAAAAAGCCTCATGTAATCCCATCGAGAACCATAACGGCCTCTTCAGGATCAGGGATTAAGTGATCATCAAATTAATCAGATACCGATAAAAACCTAGAGCAATGTGCACTTACCACGGCTATCCACTTGTGAAGATTTCGAAGGGTGCTTGCGAAAACGCCAGATCTGGAACATAGGAGCTCGATGAGAAAACGAATGCTAAGCCACGAACGGATACAAATATGGAAGGTCAGTGCGAGCTAATCCATCATCTGTTGTCAGCCGAAAGATGGTATTATATATTCCCGACCGGGGCTGGGAAAATGCGTTTTATTCACCGAGGTTTTTGTGCGGAGGACCGAGTGCCGGTAGGCACGAGGTCCGTAGCAAAAAACCGAGGTGAATAAAACTGCATTTTCACAGCCCAAGGTTGGGAAGAGATTTACCACATGCCGTACCGGCGCAACAGTTAATATCATATTCATTTGATATTTTGCACTTTAATCTTAATATTGTGTTAGTATTATATTAGTACTATGTTCATATTTATAGTCACCGTGATTATTTTTTTTTGTGTTTTTCATTATTGGGCTGCGTTGAGCATGAAAGATGAAATTCCTACTTCCTTCTTATTTAGGGTTTGAAAAAGCTGAGGATGAAGATGGTGAAGCGCCAGAAGTTAGAATAAAGATATGGAGTCCAGCAGGAGTGAGGAAACCGTGAGGAAAACTGAAAATTGGGTGAAACGCTGAAACAAACGCGTCTTGGATCCCAGCTGGAACAATATCAAATGTTTCAATGTGGCACGTTAAGATGCTTCACGTTAAATTGTTCGTTTTTTGCGTGCATTATGTAGAAATAATGATTATTCCGACCATGTTCTGCAGCAATAAATACATCGGCATTGGAACGATAACCTTGTTTAGTTAAATTACGTTGACAGCAAAAGTAAGTAAATACGCAGTCACTTACTTTTGCTGTTGCTGTTAGTGAACACACAATCCGTAAATATCTTCTTTGAAATTGGTTCTTCCGCTCAGAATATTCAGTAAAATTTTGTCTGGGAAAATCAAAAAGCCCTAGGGCCGAATCGTTTCCCAAATACCTTCAACATTAGCCGAGGCGGGCCGAAGCCATTTCCCAAATGCACGTGCTAATGTTAAAGGGATATCTCGGCATGTGGTAAATGCATAACATCACATTAGCATTGATAAGTCGAACCAGCAATCAAACTGTTGTATGTGGCTATGCTAAGAACACTGAAACAAACTACAACAGCTCAAAAAACCAGTGTGCAAATAAATTATGTAGACCAATGGTAGTTACCTTTATCCCCTCCAAAAAGCGTAGTCATTCACGGTTTTTCTCATCTGCGGGAAGAGACGGGCATTACATACAAGCCGATTAACAATAGCACAACAGACCAGCCGAGTTTCTGAGTCAGACGATAAAAATATCCATCAGGATTCAGCCCCGAAAGATGGTTAAAAAGGTATCATCATTATAATTTCCAAATATAAGACCTTCTCCCAGTATGAGGCAATGGTCCAGTTCAGATTGTCAGTCAGCACAGAGGGTTGGACAGATAGGTAAAAACCCAACCACAACAGTCAACAGCTTTATTCAGTCAGAACAGTTATCCATCGAAGCAGCTTTTTAGAATGTGTCATTGGTTATAGCAGTCTGGTACAGTTTCACGAATGGCCATAGGCACATCCGACAACCAGCTATCGCAGCACGGATATTTACTTTATCGCCGGATAGTTAGATGTGATGAAGAACACTTGAGCGTTCATCACGCACGTCGCATAACGCAGGGTGTAAGAAAACACTTCAGTAACAAAATTAACCAGAACAAATCGAGCGATTTGCCAACTATTACTTAGTACGTTCAAATTCGATAACAAACTCACCTCCATAGCACACGATTTATCGGAGATACGTGCTGGAAGAAGTCGAACTCATCCTGCTCAGAGACCACACCAGATGACGAACCTGAAGGAAAGTTATGTGGTTAGAATATGGCCACCACATAAAGTACAATGCATGAAGGTTGCATTATATTTCAGAGTAACTATGAAAAGCCCTCACGAACTCCCAACGAGAACCAGAACGGTCTCTACGGGATCAGGAAGATATTATCATCACGAAACAGTCTCATATGTAATCCCATATAAAACCGGCGGAACTCACCGGACTTGAGCAAGTCACATGTGGCCCAGATGTCGAACCCCAACAACGATTCTGAAAAAAGCATAAGCGATGTAAAGAAAAGTGACGATTGCACAAAAGATTCATGCTGGCTTCTAATTTCAGCGCGAATGTGATGCATCATCGTTTCAGCCGAAAGATGGTATGTGCTTGACATCATTATTACTCAGCAATTTTACATAGCATATCCTAAGAACGGTCACAAATCCGAATCAACCACTACAACACACTGGAGCGAAATGAAAATCGTCGCCCGTCGCTTATCTTACCATTCACGATGAGGTGCATTTCATTCAGCAGTCTGATAGACAGGCTCTTCTCGCCGGGGATCTGGTAAGCCTGTCACGCACCGCAGCGTCACCCACCAGACGACAAATACGAGCACCCTGAAACCAAAGAGGCGAATTCTGAAATGCTCACAGCAAAGGCAAACATTTCAAAAGTTAGTCTTTTCAGAAAAACATATATCCATCAGGGATCAGCCCCGAAAGATGGTTAAGTGTGGTTTCATCAGAAAGGAAAGCACGCTAACTATGTGAATATCCAACTCGCCAGCTTCTTTGGTTCGGAACCCAGACTGCAATGAATGGGAAAACGTATGCTCAAGCTAAATATGACTGGTTTCCTCCTTATCTTAGACAACTACGCTCAGGTTCATAGACACTTTTCTCACCTTGACCATTCTGATGCATTTCAGTTCTTCTAATAAGCAGCATTTGCCACTCCTCACAGATGGGTAGGCTGGATCAGACACTCCTGAAGCGATAAAGGAAAGTTTTGTAACTTCGGAAGCAGTCGAACAACAGAACGGTCGGCTAACAATTTGTTCAGAGTAATAAGAGTTATCGATCATACAATCAGATGACACGCATGAAAACATCATTTAGATCTACCACGAGCCAGAAGAGCATCGGTAAGACAGAAACACGAGACCAAGCTCGAAAGGACTGATAGCTCACCTTCTGGAAACATCGACGGGCTAGCGGACCGCTCAGCCTCAGCTGAACAACTCTCAGCCACAGCATGCGAACAGATCCTGGGAAACACAATACTCATTAATAACAAGCTACGAGGACCAATGAAGTAACAGATAATGAGCAGTTTCAGACCAATAATTATCCATCAGGTGTCAGCCCCGAAAGATGGTTGAAAGGGTTTCATCAGACGTAAAGATCACCGCATTGGGATACAGCACAAGCGGCTTCCTTAGCACCGATAACCACCAACTTCATATTGTGTCACTGACCTGACCCGATGGTCCGATGGCGAGTCGTCCTGCCACCGGTCCCCTCCCTCAGCACCTGAGAAGGTGGCCAGCGTGAGACAACAGCCACTTACTGCACCGGAATAATCGCGGACACGCGTTCTCAGTGGATATTTAGTCATCGATCATCAAAATCAGATGACACGCATGAAAGCATCATTATTGACAAAAGCCGACCAGACTGGGAAACGTTGTATGCCTACGCAATAACAACTCACTATATGAAAAAATGACCAATTATTTACGAGCAACAACATATCCAGGCAATGCAGACATGTTGGACCAGGCGATAACCCACCACAAGCTCACCTTTTACAAGCGAATGGTCGACTTTTGCAGATACTCGGCAACGGTAGCTGGCAGCTGACCCTGTGGGCACGCACAAACTTGGCCAGCTACGGGCAGATCGCACAACCACAGCACACGGAAAAGGCCGTCAAGTCAAGGGGACAGAAAACGGAAAACCACTTGGTAGTATGGTGATTGGTGCTGACAGGATTTCGAGCACAGGATCTTGCGAGAAATAGGAAATAGGTCAATAATATGTATGTAGGATTACTTCGTGAGCTGAAAATGTCATCGAATGAAGCAAGTCATTTCTAAATACACAAAAATACTCACCTATTATTCATCAGAAATCCTGGAGAGTGCCTTCCCATTGCCAGGCTATCGTTACCCGCACCCCACCCCAACCCACAACCCCCAGGCAAATATCGACAATTTGTTTTTTTTTTCTATATTTTGTCGTGGGCAGATGATCACTTCCTGGCTCGGATCTTCTTGGAGTAGAACTCGAGCTCGCGTCCCTCGAGGATGTAGCCGTCGCAGCGGCCGCACTGTCCGGGCCGGCTGGCGATGCGCGCGTACAGCCGGCCGGTGTGGAACTGCTCCTCCAGCGCCGGCTCCACCTTGCCCGTCTTCTGGCGCGCCTGGTACTTCTTCTCAGTCTTGGCAGCCCGCTTGCGGTTCAGCACGGCGTCTTCCTCCGGCGTCTGAGCGGGACGACACGCGAAACGCGCGCGTCAGTACAATACCGTGGCCAGGGAGGACAACAAAGACGACAGCACAGCACAACACACACGCACCAGCCTTTTTGGGCTGCAATCAATTCCGAAGGCTATGATTGTGCGACTCGTCACACACAGGCCCATTGCCAAACAGAGCTCTCTGCGCAGACTCTAGCCTTCACTGTTCGATCGGGACATTCAGAGTCGTCCTGAAAATTAAATTTAGCATGTTCAAAGAGCAGAACAACGTTAGTTCCACAAGCTAAAACTCCATCGTAGCCGCTCCCACCCCATACGATTGACACGGACCATCCCCGTTACGAGTATCCTGGCAGCGGGGATGGCTCCCGTTAAGAGGGCCATCCCCGATCCAGCGTCGGAGCGACTCGAACACGGGCTCTCATCACCGGGAATTCGATCAAACATCTGCACCAAGTTCCGCTGGTAATATGTAGTTAGGTGGCAACCATCAGGCAGCCCACCTTCAACAAGTTCAAGAGTGGAATGGATTACACCATAGTGTCCAGGCAGCCATTTTTTTCACATCAAAATATCATATTTGACAAGACTTTTGATACCTATCATAATGAACACAACGTAGAATGTACTATATTCAGATTCACTTCAGTGAATCCAGAGGTGACGTGATTAACTTACCAGCTTCTGTCCCTTCTTGCGGCCGAGCGGCAGCGCGTAGTGGGACTCGTACCACTGGCGGAACGGAGAGGCGTCCACCATGACGATGGTGCCCTTCACCAGAGTCTTCGTGCGCACCAGCTCGTTGTTGGTGCAGTTGTAGACGCAGTCGATGATGCGCGTCTTGCGGGTGGTGCTCTCAGAGCCCCACGAGAAGTTGCCAGACTCCAGACGGAGGGCGCGGTATTTCACGTTTCCTCCGCGCGTGCGCACCGCATGGATGCGCTTGGCACCAATCTGAAAATGAGATGCGAAAGATGACAATTTCGTCGAGAAGATTTGAGTGTCTGCGGTTACAGAAGCTCAAACCAATTACATGCCATTCTTCTCTGATTCAGAGTTGCTTTTCATCCATCTACTGCTTCCTTGTCTCATCTACATCTCTGTAGTAGGTATAGCCATCGTCCCACTGCATATTAGGCTTTCTTTTTACGTCAAAACATAGCTCGATGTCATATAAGGCTATGACATCAGTCCATCGGAAATTATACCCCAGAGACGCGCGATGTTCCACTCTTTCGGAATGATTTATCATTGGCCTGCGCTCCACTAGGGCTCCTGGATTTCCAAGCCCTGATAGTGTTTGAATACTCCATTCCCTTCTAATTCGGCTCCTGGGCCACGTAGCGACACGCCGTAGGCGGCGTTCGAAAGAGCGCATATAAATAATGAAGGAATTACATTAGCCACTTTTAGGTCAGGTCAAAGGTTGAGTCACCACAGGTCATCGAAGGTAAATTTCGTCTATTACCAGATCAACAATTGACTTTGCCATTGAGACGTCTTCCGGTCACAGGCACCTACACTACAGGCGGAGTTGAGCTTGAGCGAGTGAGCGTCATGCGTGATCTGGGCGTGCTGATCGACGAAAGGCTGAGGTTTGCTGAGCACGTCGACGCCGTCGTTCGCCGAGCAAACCGGGCTCTTGGCCTCTTAGTCAGAACATTTCAGACTGGTAAGCATGGGTGCTCGTTTGATTTGTCGATAAAAAGCCAATCATCGCCACTATCTGTGCAAATGAGCGTTCAACACTAGAGTTCTGCAGTGTGATTATGGGGAGGCGCAGCCGAAACGCACATGATGAGAGTCGAGCGTGTACAACACAAATTTTTGATGTGGCTCTGTGTACGCTGCCGTGTCACAGACGTCTCTCTGCAATGATGATCTGCTCCGCTATTTCGGCATGAGTAAATTAGCAGACAGGCGCGAACAACATGACGTTATGTTCAACTAGAAAATTCATCAACACGTCATCGACTCTTCATTCCTCCTGCAACAGTTTCTTTTGACGGTTAGCGGGCCTTGCCTTTGACCGTTCCATCGCGGCTGCTTCGTAACAGGAGTATTTTCACGTATCGCACGCCCGAGTAAACACGGTCAAAAAACGGCCCTTTTCACGGAACCCGAGACACAGCATCATGTTCCTCGAGGCGCACAGGGACGTCGATGTTTGGCTGCACACTCAGCTAGAGTTAACCCGCGCCCCGCTGGGGGGGTCCCGTTTTTCGCCAATAACTTCTAAACGCGTTACGCCAGCGACGTCAAACTTTCAGTACCTTATCATACATCAATTTGACACGTTCCCTGAAAATTTGAGCGAAATCCGTCGGAAAATTTTTGAGAAATTTACGCTTTAGTGACGTCATGTTCGCCATTTTCGCCTCAAAAACGGCAAAATTTCAAACGCCGCAAACATCTTCAATTTTAAAGACATCAAGACGTAACACAAAAGGTTATACGTGATTCTACTTTGTCTATCAAATGGCTACCTCGGTTTTTTGAAAATTTTGGATTTTGGCCAATTTTTTCTTCAAAAAACTGACTTTTTTTGGAAAATAATTATAAAATCCAAAATTTTGAGTGTATAAAAACCGGAATATATGTCAGAGAACTGGTCTATGTGCACCTACATACCAATTTTTAGACGAATCGGTTCAAAAATGTGGGAGTTATTCAAAAATTTATGACGTCACGACACACAAAAATTTTGAAAAAAATGATTTTTTGGAAGTTCTATACCTCGTAAGGAAACAAAAATAGCACCATTCGATTCGCCGTGAAAAACTGCATGCGATAGACACCTTTTTAGGCCTTAACAACCAACTTCAAAATTTGACCTCACTTGACCTGACCTTGACCTGACCTCGACCTGAAATTCATCCAGAGGTGGTCCATATCACTTATTGAGTGTGCCTATTGAATTATATGAGTAAAATGACCCATAAAACATGTGTCACACATGCCCTTTTCTATATTTTGTTTTTGGTGACCTGACCTGAGCTGACCTGACCTTGACCTTGACCTTTGAATGACATTGTATGCAACGAATATTGTCTTGGTAGTCTAAGAACACGTTTTGGGCAATCAGTCTCAGTCCATTCTTCGGCAACTACGGTGCAAGGCCGATACTGTAGAAACTTACATATTGTACCCTTGACCTTGACCTGACCTCTGACCTACTTAAGCAAAACAATTTGGGCTCTTAAGATCCGTCTTGTTGAGAGCTTTCGATTGCCGTTTTCCCCGTCTTTCTACGACCATCGGTTCGGAAGTTAGACAGGGGGGGGGCAGAATCTGCCCCCCCCCAGCAGGGCGCGTATGGCTGAATAGCCCAGCGGGGCGCGGGTTAAGGAACCGGCTAGCTGCGTACATCCGCTAGAAAGGAGTTTGCGGAATGTTAAAGGTAGTGTGCCACCTTCCAATGATTTCCCATTTTATTTTTCCTAGGATAAGAAGCTTCTGTTTTTACCTAATATCGCAAAAAAATCAGAAATGGGCCTGGAATAGTGCCTTTTTCGCCTAAAAGTTTATCGGTTTTTCGATATTTATAACAACTGTTAGTGGGCTGACCTGCAAACAGGCGTCGGCAACAATCGCGAATGCGGCGCAGATGTGACAATAAGCAACAGTCATTATAGAGTTACGACGTACGGGAAGGAGTTATCAGCTGTCTGATCGTAGACAACACAATGTCGAACTTAAACTGTAAGCCTGTATTGGTATTGTTTCTTAAATTTGGCTGTCGAACGTTAATTTATGGTTTGAAATATGATTTTATGTAAGATAATTGATATCAAACAGCCGTCTCTTAAGTTATGACCCCATTTCACCACACGCAAGTGGCAGAAATGACAATGATCAGCTGACGCATTTTTCTTGACCGAAGTCAGAGCGCGCGGCCCGACGCACCACGCGTATTTGGAAATTCCTACCTCGACAAGCATCATAAGCCACCTAACAGGCGTGTTCGAAACCGCAGGAGATGATGATGAACGGGTTTATCGAAACTTGATTGGATGAGCCTATCGGTAGTAGCGATTTTAGTGTGTGCATTTATTGTTCATAGTGGTGTGAAATGTGGTTGGGGTACGACCGACAACCCGTCGGGGCGAATTTCGCACTGGGGTACTCAAAATTTGAAGAATTTAAGACGTTTCCATGAGTTTTGAAGGTATGGATAAGTTCTAAAAATCCGGTTCTCCTTATCCGGGTCATTAACTCCATATGGTCCAAGAAAGCTGGCACACTACCTTTAAGTGTATGATTTCAATCATGTTTACCAGTAAAACGCCTTTTGGGGGCGATCAACGGAGCGAGCGAGAGGGTGGGCCTCGCACGTGCGAAATTGCGAGGGGGTACATCCAACTAACTTGTGCACTGCACCCTACTAACCGGCCCGTAGCGATGTGCCAAATTTGAGCGCAATCGGCCCAGCCGTTCTCGAGATCTGGAAGCGGCCACGCTCGTAATGGATGCGAGGCACCCCCCCCCCCCCCTTAGTTCGAGGCATCCTAATCTATTAACCCGCGCCCTGCGGGGGGGATGTTTGAACACCCCCCCCCCTCCCTGTGGTTTCTCGCGAATATTTAACCCGGCACCGCCTGGGCTATTTCCGTACCCACGACAGCCTGGGGGGGGGGGGTCGGATCCGACCCCCCCCCCCTGTTATCTCGAGAACCAATGGTCGTATCGAGCCCCGCGAGGCGGCGTTCGAAAGGTCTCTACGAGACCTTCCCAAAGCACTCTTAAGATTTTAAGATTGAGGTCAACTTTCGGGTCAAGGTCAGGTCAAAGGTCAAATTCAGGGGTTTTGCATGAATCGGCTTACGGACAGCGGAATCGATAGCTGCTGCTCGAAACTCACCAAAAATGACCTCAAAGGCCTAGTGAAGGTGCCATGTGCGTATAGGGGTCATACTAGGTACAGGTCAAGGTCAGGTCAGGTCACGAAAGGTCACGGTTTTCACTTTCTGCTACATGGGCGTGTGACACATGTTTTATGGCTTATTTTTCACGCCGAATCCGATGGTAATGGTTATATGTGACCCAAAGTCACTGTGCTGGCGATAAATGTGCATTGAAAGCATAAAAAATCGTTTATACTATACATAACTAAACGAGAGCTAAGAAAAAAGGTCAATTTTTCAACTTTTTATTTTTGACATAAAAATGCACTTTTCTAGACGAGCTTTGTCCCAGGAATCTAGTGGTGCCATTTGTTTTCACATGCGATGTTCAGAAATGCCTCTAATTCACGAAAATGCCTATGACGTCACCATGCCCTATGCATGTTGGAGCTATTTTTTACAATTTGGGGGTCAAAAATCAAGATAGAAAGTTGAAATTTGGGGCATCTAATGTTCTAATAGAGCTCTACAACATATATTCCGGTTTTTTGGAAATTCCCAAAATTTTGGATTTTATAAGCTGTTTTCCAAAAAATATAGTTTTTGAATTTTTAGGGGTGAAAAACGCATTTTATGGAAAATCCGAGATAGCCATTTTAAAGAACTCGTTGAGCTGCGTCTTTTGATGTCTTTAATTTGCAAATTGCTTCAAAGCCTGATTTTTGGCGATTTTTTTAAACATTTACCACTTTTTGACTAAAAACGCCATGTAGTTACGTCACTAAAATCGAAATATCTAAAAAAAAAAATTTCTTAAAAATTGCACAGGAGACGTCAAATTGATGGGGGAGAAGGTATGCCAAGTTTCAAGTAGATAGCGAAAGTGGTTCATGAGTTATTCAAGAAAAACGGAGGGGGGGTCGGATCCGACCCCCCCCCCCCCCAGGCGGTCGCGGGTTAAAAAACGGCGGCGCGGTACACCTTATCACACATCAATTCTACACATGTTATGAAAATTTCAGACCAAGGTCATTCAAGGTCAGGTCACCAGGTCACTTGAAGTAGCCTCACCTCATAAAAAGTTTCAATGTCTGCCATAGCTACACCGAGTGACCGATCGCTTTGAAACTTGAAAGGGACCCTCCCACCTTAAAAAAGTTAATGAATTGGCATGAAAGTGATGTCGCTCGGTTCAGAAAGAGCAAAAACGAATATCTACCAAATTTCATCGAAAAATATTCACCGGTTTTCAAGATATTAGACTTTTACTTTTGTTTACTTTTTGGGATCTCCGCTGTTCCTAGCGACTTTATTTGAAAGTGCGGCATTTGTTGCGCGCAAAGCAGCATATACCACCGCGTGCTACAAACCGTTTTAGTCAAACATTTAACGGACGTTCGAAAGCCTGATGACGTCATCAGATTCCCGTAATGGTTAAGAGATAGAGACCACGCTGGTCCCACCCTGCAAGTAAAGGGAAGAAATTTCTTGAACACCATAAAGCTGCGGGGGTTGCGACCAGGATAAATGGTGGTTTCTGAGCCTGGCCGCAAACTTGGCTATCTCAACTCAAAACTAATGTTAAGGTGGGAGGGTCCCTTTCAGCGAATGCTAAGAGCAATAGCATGTACAAAATGTATATCTCAGAATTTTGATATCGATGACCTAAGGTCAGGTCAATTTTGCGACCTCCCCATTATAAGTCAATGGGAGAAAATTGAAATGCGCCTCTTTTGGGCGAAAGACATTATAAACAATCCCAAACACTGCATTACAAGTGGTTTGACACACTGAACATGAAAATGGTGTCCGTGACCCCTGCTTATGCCCCTGAGGTCATCTTAGGTCACGAATGGTACCTAACAGTTTTTCGCAAATAACTTTTGATAGAGGCATGCTAGAGCGATGAAAACGACTTAGATGTGTTTAGCTCGACGATACGGATCGACTGATATGCAACATGACCCTTTCCGGTCAGGTGATGACCATGACCTGAGGTCAAATTTTGAAGTTTACCCTTCAAGGTCAAGTGATAGTTCATTCGATACGTCTTGACGAGAAGAACACGATGCCGGTAAAAGTAACTCGTACAAGGCTTGGAGTTGGATCAAGTTATTGCAGAAAAACTGTTTCCAAAAAAAATCGGCTATTTTTGCAGTTTTTGCCCCCTGCAGGCAAAATCGTTGACGTTAGGTCAAATCTGAGAGAGTTACTCAGAAAGGGCGTTAATAGGGCTATCGAATGCGCTTTTCCGCGGCGCTGTAGCTCTATTGGTTCCCGAATTATGCGTTGGCTTCTTGGAAATTGTTGACATTCGACCTGGAAATCAGCGAAATTTTGCCTTCAATGACCTCTGGTGACCTAACCTTTGACCTGACCAAAAAGTGACCGAAGTGATTTCGTCATTATTTTTGGCGCCCTTTCAAACGCCGCCTTCCGCGTACCGCTACGTGGCCCAGGAGCCGAGTTAGAAGGGGGGATGTTCAACCCCCCAGCAAGGCGTGGAAATCCAGGACCCCCAGACGGGCGCGGGTTAACACCCAACTAATCTCGGAATGAAAACCAGGGTGCTGTTCAGTCGCAGTTTTTTTTTTGGCAGCAGGCTGTGAGCACGCTAATTCCTGGCTCCCCATTGTTGTAATTAACGTGGTCTACTCATTTGACCAATGAGAGGCCAAGAAGTGCCAGCAATAGGTAACTTCCTTATACGGGTAAAACTGAAAGTGTGCAGATAAAAAACAGTGACAGAACAGACAGCAGATCATGAAACCGAGGATGGACACTAGCTGTAAACTTAAAGTTTTCACTCTTCATGATCAGACAAAGACATTATTATCGATCGAGCCCAAGAGGGGATATGATCCATGGCCATCAGCTGTGTCCTGCACACCCAGAACTCCCTGATTTTCGGCAGAGCGGGGGACCCTTATGGTCTTTGAGGTTGTTCTGCTAACTACAGGGAGAAAATCCATAACTTTAGTATTTCAAAGATGTTTTGTCACAGGCATGTCATACATATACTCACATGCAAACTCAGTCAGAGTGAGACAGTGGCATTGGGCAGCCGCCGACCAAGACGGGCATGGCACTATGCATGGGGCTCACAGAGGCTAGTGGCATGTCATCAGGGGCAGGTGTGTGCGTGGGTTGGGTTGAGGCGAGGGGACTCAGAGGCAGGCATGAGTCCCCTGAGGCTGACTTGGGGTCCTCAGAGGTCAGGATGGAATCTATAGACCCAGGATGGGGTTCTCAGTAAACCTCCTGGGCCAAAGTGCCCCTTAGGGACTGGGGGAACTGGAGAGACATGCTCCTCACAGAACTGTACTCTGCATTTGTTGGGGTTGAGTGACGGTCAGTCTGGACAGAAAACCTTAAGCAAGATTCAGCTGTCAGCATGAGTTGGTCAGACAGTACATACAACGGTTGGATGCATTTTCTATTTTATATTTAAATCTTTGATCTGGGCTACCAAAAAAAGGTGACTGGAACTGAGAAATCCCCAAGTTGCCACTTTTTTTGCAAATGTTTTGTTTTTGTTCTTTGCAGTGAAAACACCAAAGGATAAAAATAACTGGCCTAAAAATGGTAAAAAAAAAACAATTTGTGGGTATCATATCCTGATTTTTTATTATCAGTGACAGTGGAAAGTCTTACTTGACTGACCAGCACTTGATATTAATGTTCAAATTTATTTTTGTTTGGTCTTTTTGTTTAGAAAGTATTTGATAATTTTCATGGTTAACTTAACCCGCGCCCTGCTGGGGGGGGGGTGTTTGAACAACCCCCCCCCCCTGCGGTTTTTCGCGAATATATCAAAAACGGCGGCGCTCCGCGCCGCCGTTTTTGGTACACCTTATCATGCATCAATTCTACACATGTTGTGAAATTTTCAGACCAAGGTCATTCAAGGTCAGGTCACCAGGTCACTTGAAGTGACCTCACCTCATAAAAAGTTCCAATGTCTGTCATAGCTACACCGAGTGACCGATCGCTTTGAAACTTTCAGCGATTTTAAGAGCAATAGCATGTACAAAATGTATATCTCAGAATTTTGATATCGATGACCTAAGGTCCGGTCAATTTTGCGACCTCCCCATTATAAGTCAATGGGAGAAAATTGAAATGCGCCTCTTTTGGACAAAAGACATTATAAACACTCCCAAACACTGACTTACAAGTGGTTTAGACACACTGAACATGAAAATGGTGTCCGTGACCCCTGTTTATGCCCTGAGGTCATCTTAGGTCACGAATGGTATCTAACAGTTTTTCGCAAATAACTTTTGATAGAGGCATGCTAGAGCGATGAAAATGCCTTAGATGTGTTCAGCTCGACGATACGGATCGACTGATATGCAACATGACCCTTTCTGGTCAGGTCATGACCTTGACCTGAGGTCAAATTTTCAAGTTGACCTTTCAAGGTCAAGTTATAGTGCATTCGATGCGTCTTGACGAGAGGAACACGATGCCGGTAAAAGTAAGCTCGTACAAGGCTTGGGTCAAAAGTTATTGCAGAAAAACTGTTTCCGAAAAAATCGACATTTCTGCAGTTTTTGCCCCCTGCAGGCAAAACCGTTGAAGTTAGGTCAAATCTGAGAAAATTACTCAGAAAGGGCGTTAATAGGGCTATCGAATGCGCTTTTCCGCGGTGCTATAGCTCTATTGGTTCCCGAGTTATGCGTTGGCTTCTTGGAAATTGTCGACATTCGACCTGGAAATCGGCGAAATTTTGCCTTTAATGACCTCTGGTGACCTGACCTTTGACCTGACCAAAAAATTGACCGAAGTGATTTCCTCATTATTTTTGACGCTCTTTCGAACGCCGCCTTCCGCGTATCGCTACGTGGCCCAGGAGCCGAGTTAGAAGGGGGGGGGGGGTGTTCAAACACCCCCCAGCAGGGCGTGGAAATCCAGGACCCCAGCCGGGCGCGGGTTAAAATCCTTAAGTATTTAATTATGCTTGAATTGCTATAAATGTGCCTTGCAATTTGAGCATTTCTTATCCTTCAACAACAAAAGTATGTTCTTTCAGTATAGCCTTATTTTTCAAAGCCATGCAAGATAATCTTCACCATTTTAATGCATATAACCAAACTGCATCGTCATTGAGGATTCACACGCCATTGTCATTGAGGATTCACATTGAGGTAACAGATGTTGACACTGGGCAAATATAATTAAAAAATACAACACATTTTAATTGAGTTATCTGTTACAGTACACCTTACAGCCCTTACCTTGGTGTTGGAGGCAGGGCGGCCCAGCTCATACTTCCTCTTCTTGCGGGTGACAGGCCTTTTTCCTCCTGTCTTCCTCCTTTTATGCAAGTTGTTCCGGGTAATACCTGAAACATTGTGAAAATTGTTATGTTGACAATGAGTGCCCTTCTTACCTAACAAAAGAATTCCATACTTCACTGTACCTATTTTCGCTTAAACCAACATGCAGACGTGCTAAACGTGTTACCATTAAATGTCTCAATTCTCAGCTACCTCTGTCACATGGGTTACAACGTCCAACTTATCACGCAAAACAAAAACCTAAGAAAACGCACGTCACGCGCGACTTCCAGGAGTATCACACAAGGCTAAGAATGACCAAAATTTATCAAGAACTGGCAAACAAATATTTTATTCAGCGTCGATGAGATTTTTGCCGAGGCTCCATGCCTGGTGTCACAAGCACTGTTTGTCCGATTAACCCACCGACCAGCAGATAAAGAAAAGTGTACGAACCAGTGACTCTTAAATGTTTAAAAGTATTCAGAAAACAAACAAAAAACGATCAAATCATATTGAACATACGAAATTGATATTTCACTCACCCATGTTTGCTGACAGCGGACCTAAAAGGACGAAGGCAGTGTTGCCAAGTTCACCAAAGAAATAAAAGAAATAAAAGCATTTAATATTTTGTAAAAGTAATTATATATAATTAAAATCTATATTTTTATTCATAATATTTGGTACAAGATACATTTCTTTATCTTACTTATGGGGTGATAAAATAAATTATTGTAGAGCTGCTACTTTTCTGGTAGAGCTGACATATTAGACGCGTTTACATTGGGTTTGTTAGGTACAAGCTTTTATCTCCGTCCGTGATTTTGCAAAAAATGCCAATGGTGCTTAACAATTTACAAAATGATCCCCTTTAAATATTTGAAGACCACCGCATCGAAATTATCATTATCGCCAAATAAGCGAGCTAGAGCCAGCTCGTCAAAAAATGTTATATTAACGCCGAAGGCGACATAATGACTATATTGTTCACGGTCGTTCAGATATTTTTATAACTAACATGACATGATCAACAATAGGAGAGGGTGCCCAATCTGCGCCCGCCCAGTAAACATGCCAACGTCGGGCCGACGTCGGCAAACATCGGGGTGCCGTCGGCATCTCGGAGTCGGCATGCCGACGTCGGCCCAACGTCGGTCCGACCTCGGCGCGACGTCGGCTGGACGGTGGGTGCGCCCGCATGTACCGACGTCCAGCCGAGGTTTAGCCGACGTTGTGCCGACGCTGGGCCGAGATCGTTGGCCGAGGTCCAGCCGACGTCGCGCCGACGTCAGGCCGACGTTGGGCCGAGATCGTTTGCCGAGGTTGAGCTGAGGTGACGTCCGTTCGACGTCGGCCGCTGTCTTGACCGTTAAAATAATATAAAGTGTGTGTTTCATACTTCATAAAGAGCTTCTGTATTCAAAATAGGTGCACAAAGTTGCTCCAAAGTCCTAACTACTCCAAATCACTTGTTTGTTATATAATTATTCTATGTGTAGTCGGATCTTTGAGCTGCGTCCTTCCCCTCCCTCGCCGCGCCGGCGGGTCGGCCGTCCGCGGCTTGCCGCCCGCGAGCTGCTGGCCGGTCAGCTGGCCGCCCGCGGCTGCCGGTGCAGTGCGGGGCGGTGTTTCACGGGACGCTGCTACCACGCTGCTATCAAATTGCGCGAGCTGACGTCACACTTGTGGTAGTGTTGGAGCAATGGGCCTGTTGATGTTTCCATGGAAACCCAATTTGCCACACGTGTAAAAGCAGCGTGCTGCTATCACCGGTGAAACAGGGCCCGGGCTGCCTACTTGCGTGCAGGGCTGTCGTGGCGCCGGCCCCGGTGGACTGGGCGAGTCAGTGAGTTGGGGACCTCGCCGTGGTCCGGTGCTGGTGTGGTATTGAGCTCGCTTACTATGGCTTGAGCCATACAGTTTGAGCTGAAGCAAGTCTTTCGTTTTAGCGCCACACGTGACACGACTGATTGTTTTGTTGCACGTTTAATTATTTCATGTCACTTGATAAATGGCTAGCTCTTTTGGTCATCATACCTCTCTGCTCTCACGCTCACTGGTACTTCTCGTCCATTCGTGCTTAGTATATTATTACCATGGTATTTGTTGCAGTTTATGCTAATTCGTTTCTATTATCTTGCTGTCGTTCCAGGCGCGGCAAGCAGCAAGTTTGGAGTTGACGCCTGCCACTACCGAGGGTCAGATTGATCAGACTCTGGTTACAACGCGGTGGATCGGGCGCCGGCGAGCTGCAAGAAGGGTGGCGCCTATTAGCAGTAGTTTGAGGCTGTGTGTGCAAGTGCAATATGTGCAAGTTCGCACATATTTTATACAAATGCAGAATGTCTATGAAACATGCATTTTATATATTTTAACCCGCGCCCTGATGGGGGGGCCATTTTGCCCCCCCCCCTGTGATTTTTCTTAAAAAGCGAGAAAACGGCGGCGCGCAGCGCCGCCAAATTTTGGGTACCTACCTTACCGGACATCAATTTGACACCTTCACACAAAATTTCAAGTCACAGGTCACCTCAGGTCAGGAGTTATTGAGGTCAAACTGAGGTCATGTTCGAGTAAAAATGAGCAAAAAACATGACATCTTGAAACGCTCACCAATTCTACAGTTAACAAGCAATTTTAAAGTTCTTTATGTAGTTGTGTAGACAAAAAACGGCGCTACAAAACTGCTATCTCGGATTTTCGAAATTTCGGGATTTTGACCCCCAAAAATCAAAAAATTTGTTTTTTTTAGAAAAAACTCAAAAAAATTCCAAAAAATTTTCGAATTTCGAAAAAACGGAATATATGTGATAGTCCCTGCGCTCTTCGATATACATACCAAATTTTAGATCGATACCTCTTTTTTGGCCAAGTTATAGCGAAAAAACTGTTAAAAATTGATGACGTCAAATTTCTGAACTCAATTTTTAGCAATTTTAGACCTCGTAGCGCAAAACGGAGACCACCATTGAACTCCCCGTGACGAGCTGCATCGAATCGATACTCATTTTATGCAAAAATATCAACTTTGAAATTTGACCTAATTTGACCTGACCTTGACCTGACCTTGACCTGACCTTGACCAAAACGTGACCTAAGCTGGCCCTAAAGTCTGTCTGACCCACATAATCGCATTTGTCATGTAAAATGGACCATAAAACATGTATCACACGACACTTTCATATTGTGACCCCCCAGTGACCTGACCTCTGTGACCTGACCCGGTATCAGTGACATCAAATAGCAAAATATGTGTTTGAAGAACATTTCCCCATCGATAATTTTCAATGAAATGCATTGAAATGCATTTCATATTCGCAAAAAACCACAAGGGGGGAGGATGTTGGGGGGGGTGTTCAAACACCAGCAGGGCGCGGGTTAAACCTTTTATGTACTCGTATGACTTCTGTAGCTAAATTGTACAGGGTTTCGAGCGTGCCGCCGTAGGACCTTCTGGATCCTCGTAAGCAGCGCATATCATTATGCACTGCTTAGCCCGCGCCCCGTAGGGCTACCGGCGGACCCTACCACCCGTAGGGGGGGGGGCCGTTTCGGCCCCCCTAAGATCTCGGAAAGTTACCGGCCGATTTTCAAAATTCAAACGGCGTTCGATAGCCCCACCCGGGAACTACCTTGTGACCAAAGTTCATTGACCTAGGTCAAACCGATGACGTCACAGGTCAGGTCAAAGGTCAGATTTTCACCGTTCACAGGCAATTCAAGAAATGTGCTGTGAAAGCGAGTAAATTGGTAATTTATTGAAAACCATCGATGGTACATTGTTCGTCAAACACATACTTTGCTATCTGAGGTCACTGATACCAGGTCAGGTCACAGCGAGGTCAGGTCACCGGGGGTCACAATATGAATGTGTCGTGTGATACATGTTTTATGGTCCATTTTACATGACAAATGCGATTATGTGGGTTAGGCACCCTTTGGGGCCAGCCTAGGTCACGTTTTGGTGAAGGTCAGGTCAAGGTCAGGTCAAATTAGGTCAAATTTCAAAGTTGATATTTTTGCATAAAATGGGTATCGATTCGATGCAGCTCGTCACGGGGAGTCTAATGGTGGTCTTCGTTTTGCTCTCCGAGTTCTAGAATTGCCAAAAATTGAGTTTGAAAATTTGACGTCATCATTTTTGAAGTTTTTTCGCTATAACTTGGCCAAAAAACGAGATATCGATCTGAAATTTGGTATGTAGATAGAAGACGGTAGGCACTATCACATATATTCCGGTTTTTTCGAAACTCAAAAAACTTTTTGGATTTTTTGGTGAATATATCCAAAAAAATGCTTTTTTGATTTTTGGGGGTCAAAACTCAAAAATTTCAAAAATTCGAGATAGCAGTTTTGTAGCCCTGTCAATTCTACACCTTTTGTGAGAAATCTGATCACATCAGCGGGTCTCGCACCAGGGCAATACGGCCGCATAGAGCATTCAAAGGTAACGACTTCAAAGGTAACGACGGGTGGACGTGGCGGTTTCGCCACTACCGCCTGGGCCGCCTCATCTCCCTGTCTCTCTCTCTCTCTCTCTCTCTTTCCTCTCCCCTCATCATCCATCCGCCCTCGACTCATCGTTCACCTTATTTGGTGACCAAATCCCTGGCCTCATCCATCCATCCCCGCCCACTTCTCTCTCTCTCTCCCTCTCTCTCTCTCTCTCTCCCTCTCTTCCTCGCCCACACACGCCCCCCCCCTCTGAGACGGCATGAACGGACGGTTTCCCTTGACCTCCTCCCATACTCTACCCCCTCTCTTACTCTGCCCCCCCCCAACCGAAGTGGAAAAGACGGTAAAACGCCATAATACCGCTCAAGAAGATACTATAACTTCGGTTAGCGACTCGACTCCCCCCCCCGATGACACCCCCCTTTTTGGGCCCCCTCCCGAAGCATTTCCATAATCGCATGTACACTCAAATCCCCATTGACCTATGACCTCACAGGCGGCGAGCGCGGCAGCTCCAGGGCAAATGTGCACTTCAGTGTGTTTAGATTTACACACCCTCAGGGATTAGCGGAATGACGGCGGAGAAGCGCGAAGGACGGCGCAGGCCGGGGACCATTAGCATTAGCATATGAAACCTTGTGAAACGCATAATAACGTAAAGATACACCTGGAGCAACTTTTGCAGCATTTTATGCACAACGATGCAAAGTAACGTTTCGATATACTGCCCAAAAGAAAGAGCGTTTGAAAAAGCCTGGTCATATTTCTTAGCTACCGCCCCGCATTACGATAACAGGTCTCAGGGAGGGAAGGGTGACTATGCTTCTATTTACAGCTGTAGAACCTGCAGGCGTGCATGTCTTGCTATCAACAGATGACGACAGGTCGGGATCGGCAGCAATGTCGATACCAAATAGCGAGCAGCAGTTCACGGCGGACTGTGCCCGTGGGGCACACCCAGGGACGCTGGTCACAGTGATCGTTAGCAAGACGGGCAGGGATAATGCAAGCTATCCATGCAGCCCTAGCAGTGTCACAACGTCTGACACATCTTATATATTCCTATCAACTGAGGGACTGAGAGGCAGGCCAGATCGGAAGACCGATTGGTGTTACTTGCGCGAATACCGTGAGGAGGTTACT